CCACCCCTCTGTTCAAATATACTACGTCCATCGCCAACCCGTGTCCAAGGTTTTGCTCACCTCCTCATAAAAAGAAATCAGATTTGTGTGACAACTTCTGTCTTTCATGAATCCATGCTGTCTGTTAATTACATATATTTGTTTTCCAGCAAGAACTCCTCTCTGTGGTCTTTTATTAAACTCTCCAGTATCTTCCCAACTACAGAAGTTACACTAACAGGTCTATAATTACTTGGGAAAGATTTTGACCCCTTTTTAAATATTGGCCCCCACATTGGCCTTACACCAATCCCGTGGTACTATGCCAGTCATTAAAGAGTCCCTAAAAATGAGAAACAATGGCTGTGAGATGACAGAGCTGAATTCTGTAAGGCCCCGTGGGTGTCTGCCATCCGGTCCACGGGCTTTATTCACCTTTATTCTGTCTAAATATTTCTGGATCATATCAATTGTGAGCCAATGTGGATCATCTGGGGGGTGTCAGTACCACACCCATGAAGACCAAGTCATAAAATTTTCCATACAAAAAAAAAAAAACCTGTGCTGAAGGTTCTCTGCATCTAATGAATGCTAAGATTGCTCGGTGTCAAGTGACAGTAACTCCATGCGGGCACTTTTTACTTAACCACTTGCTGTCTGGGCAATTTTTAAAATTTTTCACACACATCACAAAAATCAGCATTTTTTTGCTAGAAACTTACCTAGAAACCCCAAACATTCTATATATTTTTAAATTTTTTATATATTTATTTTTTATGCGGCACAATATTTGCAGTTATTTATCAAATGCATGTTTTCAAGAAAAAAATACACTAAAATGAATTTTATTGCAAACATAATATAATACGCATCATAAAAGATAATGTTGCGTCAAGTAAATGGATTCCAAACACATCACATCAAAATTGCATGTACCTGAGAAAGAGCGACAAACTACAGTACCTACATTTTTTTCTTAGGTGACATTTTAAAATCCTTTTCAGGTTACCTGAAGGACCTCAGGTATGGGGGATGGAGGACCTCAGTTACGGGGGATGGAGGACCTCAGTTACAGGGGATGGAGGATATCAGCTATGGGACTGAAGGACCTCAGTTATGGGGGATGGAGGAAATTATCTATGGAGGATGAAGGACCTCAGTTATTGGGGATGGAGGAGCTCAGTTATGAGGGATGGAAGACCTTCGTTATGAGGAATGACTACAAACATTAAACTTATTCTCCCTGGAAGAAGAGACACTTAAGATGTGATATGATCATCATGGGGGGATGGAGGACGTCAGTTATGGGGGATGGAGGAGCTCAGTTATGGAGGATGAAGGACCTCAGTTATGGGGGATGTATGACCTCAGTTATGGGGGATGGAGGAGCTCAGTTATGGGGGATGGAGGACATTAGTTATGGAGGATGAATGACCTCAGTTATGGGGGATGGAGGACCTCAGTTACGGAAGTTGGAGGACTTCAGTTATGGGGAATGGAGGACCTCAGGTATGAGGAATGACTACAAACATTAAACTTATTCTCCCTGGAGAAGAGACACTTAAGATGTGATATGATCATCATGTGGGATGGAGGACGTCAGTTATAGGAGATAGAGGACCTCCGTTATGGGGGATGGAGGAGCTATGTTATGGGGGATGGAGGAGCTCAGTTATGGCAGTTGGGGGACCTCAGTTATGGGGGGATGAAGTACCTCAGTTATGAGGAACGACTACAAACATTAAACTTATTCTCCCTGGAGAAGAGACACTTTAGATATGATATGATCATTATGGGGGATGGAGAACATTAGTTATGGAGTATGTAGTTATGGGGACAGACATCATCAGTTATTGGGGATAGAGGACCTTAGTCTTTGGAGTTGGAGTTGTGGGGAATGGATGTGCTCAGGTATGGGTAGTAGAGGGCCTCAGTTATGGGGGGATGGGGGACCTTAGTAATGGATGATTGGGGTACTCAGTTTTGGGGGATTAAGAATCTCAGTTTTGGGGGCTGAAGGAGCTCAGTTATGGGGGATGGAGCTCCTTAGTTATCGAGGATGGAGGACCTCAGTTATGGGGAGACAGGACTTCAGTTATGGGAGATTGAGGACCTTAGTTATGGTTGTTGGAGGAAATCAGCTGTAGGGGATGGAGGAGCTCAGGTATGGGGGATGAAGGACCTCAGTTATGGGGGATGGAGGATCTTAGTTAGGGGAGATTAAAAACCTCAGTTATGGAGGAGCCTAGTTATGAGGAACGGCTACAAACATTAGACTTATTCTCCCCGGAGAAAAGCCACTTAAGAAGGGATATGATCACAATATACAAATCCTTGAATGATGACTTTGGAGGAAACGATTTAATCTTCGCTATCTAAAGAGGACATGCAGACACACTATGAAATTGGATGAGAAGCGGTTCAATCCCAAACTGTGTAAAGGGTTCTTTACTGTTAGTGCAGTAAGGATGGAGAACTCCCTTCCACAGTTTGGTGGTATCAGCAGGGAATGTAGATATTTCCGAAGAAACTGTTAGATGTGTTTCTTAGTGAACACGATGTACAGGGATATGGGAAATTGTAGTGACACAAACACACATACGGGACGGACTGCTGTCTTCATTCAACCCCCAACTATGTAACTATTGAACTGAATGCTGATATTGGAACATATTTGATCTACATGCATTACAAATGTCTGAAACTAAAGTCACTTTCTGCATAAGAGTCATCGATCTCCACGTCCGTAGACCTATGAAGTTTGCACCATTTGCCCAAAAGTAACATAAACTGGTTTCAGTATAAAGCAAATTGCAACAGTTGCAAATTTTTTTAATGTACCTGAAAAACTATGCAAATATGGACCTCAACGCCGCGGTTAATGTAGTTTTCGGTTTACGAATGAAAATCCATTAAAAGTAACGCCTCGGTTTACAAATTTTTTTTGCAATACAAAGCAAGTTTCCCCAGGATGCATTGCACCTGGGAGGTTTATAGCACCAGCCCCGTGCCTTTAAAGTGCACTTTATAAAGAGTTTTGAACAGATAAGACTTTTTTTTACTTTTTTTTGACCTCCAGAATGGATTAATTGGATTTCAAGGCATTTACAAATTTTTTTAATCATGTCCCTGTACAGTATTTATGTCTTTAACCACTAGCCTACCGGGCACTGTTACCCCCCCTTCCTGCCTACCGGACACTTCTACCCCCTTCCTGCCTACCGGACACTTCTACCCCCTTCCTGCCTACCGGGCACTGTTACCCCCTTCCTGCCTACCGGACACTTCTACCCCCCTTCCTGCCTACCGGACACTTCTACCCCCTTCCTGCCTACCGGACACTTCTACCCCCTTCCTGCCTACAGGACACTTCTACCCCCTTCCTGCCTACAGGACACTTCTTACCCCCTTCCTGCCTACCGGCACTGTACCCCCTTCCTGCCTACCGGACACTTCTACCCCCTTCCTGCCTACCGGACACTTCTACCCCCTTCCTGCCTACCGGACACTTCTACCCCCTTCCTGCCTACGGACACTTCTACCCCCTTCCTGCCTACCGGACACTTCTACCCCCTTCCTGCCTACCGGACACTTCTACCCCCTTCCTGCCTACAGGACACTTCTACCCCCTTCCTGCCTACAGGACACTTCTACCCCCTTCCTGCCTACAGGACACTTCTACCCCCTTCCTGCCTACAGGACACTTCTACCCCCTTCCTGCCTACGGACACTTCTACCCTCTTCCTGCCTACCGGGCACTTCTACCCCCTTCCTGCCTACCCCCTTCCTGCCTACCGGGCACTTCTACCCCCTTCCTGCCTACCGGACACTTCTACCCCCTTCCTGCCTACCGGACACTTCTACCCCCTTCCTGCCTACCGGGCACTTCTACCCCCTTCCTGCCTACCGGGCACTTCTACCCCCTTCCTGCCTACCGGACACTTCTACCCCCTTCCTGCCTACCGGACACTTCTACCCCCTTCCTTCCTGCCTACCGGGCACTTCTACCCCCTTCCTGCCTACCGGACACTTCTACCCTCTTCCTGCCTACAGGGCACTGTCACCCCCTTCCTGCCTACAGGACACTTCTACCCCCTTCCTGCATACCAGGCACTTCTACCCCCTTCCTGCCTACCGGGCACTTCTACCCCCTTCCTGCCTACCGGGCACTGTCACCCCCTTCCTGTCTACCGGACACTTCTACCCCCTTCCTGCCCACCGGACACTTCTACCTCCTTCCTGCCTACAGGGCACTTCTACCCCCTTCCTGCCCACCGGGCACTTCTACCCCCTTCCTGCCCACCGGGCACTGTCAACCCCTTCCTGCCTACCGGACACTTCTACCCCCTTCCTGCCTACAGAACACTTCTACCCCCTTCCTGCCTATAGGGCACTTCTACCCCCTTCCTGCCTACCGGACACTTATACCCCCTTCCTGCCTACAGGACACTTCTACCCCCTTCCTGCCTACCGGACACTTATACCCCCTTTCTGCCTACAGGGCACTTATACCCCCTTCCTGCCTACAGGGCACTTCTCTACCCCCTTCCTGCCTACAGGGCACTTCTACCCCCTTCCTGCCTACAGGGCGCTTCTACCCCCTTCCTGCCTACTGGACACTTCTACCCTCTTCCTGCCTACAGGACACTTCTACCCCCTTCCTGCCTACAGGGCACTTCTACCCCCTTCCTGCCTACTGGACACTTCTACCCCCTTCCTGCCTACAGGGCACTTCTACCCCCTTCCTGCCTACAGGACACTTCTACCCCCTTCCTGCCTACAGGGCACTTCTACCCCCTTCCTGCCCAGGCCAATTTCCACCTTTCAGCGTTGTCGCACTTTGAATGACAATTGCGCGATGATGCAACACTGTACCCATATGAAATTTTTATCATTTTTTTTGTGGCAGATAGAGCTTTATTTTGGTGGTATTTAATCACCTCGGGGTTTTTTATTTTTTCCTAAACAAACCGAAAACCACTGAAAATTTTGAAAAAAAAAAAGTTTTTTCTTAGTTTTTGTTATAACATTTTGTAAATAAGTGATTTTTCTCCTTCACTGATGTGCGCTAATTAGGCTGCACTGATGGGCACTGATGAGGAGGCACTGGTAGGTGCCACTGACGGGCATTGACAGGCATCACTGATGGGCACTGAAAGGCAGCACTGATTGGCATTCGTAGGTGACACTGACTGGTACTGATGGGTGACACTGAAAGGCAGCTCAGATGGGCACTGATATGTGGCATTGATGTGCACTGGTAGGCACTGAAATGTGGCACTGATGGACACTGACAGGTGGCACTTCTGGGGCTACACTGATCATCAGGGCACACCAATCATCAGTGCCCTGATGATCAGTGTAGATGCCCCCTCTGAAGAATGCCAATTACCGGCTCTCCTCCTCCTCTATCAGCGTGACAGCTCATGAGGAGAGAAATGCTGATAACCGGCATTTCCCGATTTACATGCGATCAGCTGTGATTGGACACAGCTGATTACATGACCGAGCCGACATCTTTGGCTCTTTCCATTGATCGGTGATCCGCTGTGTCCGAGGGACACAGCACACTGCCGATCGCCGCGCTGCACGCTCCCGGAGCCGCGCATGCGTAGTTAGAATGGTAGGACTTCATATGACATCCTCTCAGAACGAGAGAACCACCTTGCACATGTCATTGGACTATATGTGTGGGTGGGAGGCGGTTAAAGTGCACATTATAAAGAGTTTTGTATACATTTTTTTTTTTTACTTTTTTCTGACCTCCGGAATGGATTCATTGGTTTTCAATACATTTATGAATTCATTTTTTATCACGTCCCTGTACAGTAATTATGCCTTTAAAGTGCACTTTATAAAGAGTTTTGAACAGATAAAAGACTTTTTTTTTTACTTTTTTATGACCTCCGGAACGGATTAATTGGTTTTCAATGCATTCCTATGGGAAACCATGTTTCGGTTCACAAATTTATCGCAATACGAAACGTCCGGAGAATGCATTAAATTCCTAAACCACGGTACGCCTGTATAGTATTTTTTGTTCTAGTAGCAGCAACGTTCTCTAATACAGAATCTCCAGACTGAAGAAAGTAAAAGACAATCACCGAATCTTGATGGTTTATTGGCGTCGGTTTTACTGGGGAGATTCAATACGAAGCTGTTAAAACTATTTCTTGTACCACGACTGCTAAATGAAATGTAAATCGAGCTCTTTGCTCAGAAGGAGCTTTTCCTGTCGTTTGGGATTGGATCTGATTTTTCCACATGTACCGGGGAGCTTAGAAAATAATGTTGATCAAAATTTGTTTGACAATCAAATCCCCGCGGTAATTTGACTGGTGATTACTTCATCAATAAAACAGAACAAGGCTTACAAGAAAGAGGGAAAAAAATAGGAAATGCAACCTGCCAAAGTCATTTGTCGTCCTGTAACCATGGCGGAGCCGGGGCCGCGGATCAGGTGGAAACGGAATGGTAACAACGTGTAATGCCGGCGTTTCCTCGGTGAGAACACATGGAACAGGAATGGACGGTGTATGCAGAAGAGGAAGGACTGGACTTAGAATAGATAAATAAAAGAAACATTTTACCTGGATTGTGTTTTATATTTTATATGATGACTGTCAAAGCTTTGGGGTTGATCTGCAAAAGGCAAACAGATTGTGTTACGAGGGAAGTGGCATTTTCCCCGGAGCTTAGTGAATGCTGTGAAATTTCATTTCTTCTGGTCTACATAGTTCCATATTTTTATAGTTCCATAGTTTTATATTTTTATAGTTCCATACAGGGGCGTACTGACAACTCATGGGGCCCCCAGGCAATAGGGGATCATGGGGCCCCTGTGTCCTTGCCCAAACTCAAAAAAGCCTATGAAAAAGCCAATGAAAGGTACCAGGGGCATCTCACGGGGCCCCCTACTGACCCTGGGCCCTTGGGCAGTGCCCGAGTGCTCGAATGGTCAGTCCGCCCCTGGTTCCATAGTTCCACAGCTAAACAGTTACATAGTTCCATAGTTAGTCTGGCTAAAAAAAAAAAAAGACAAAAGTCCATCCAGTTCAACCATTAAAAAAAAAAAGTTCTAATCCTCCACCCACAGTTGATCCAGAGGAAGGCAAAAAAAAACAGCAAAGCACGATCCAATTTGCTCCTGCAGGGGAAACATTCCTTCCTGACCCCCCGAGAGGCAATCGGATATTCCCGGGATCAACTTTCCCTATAAATGTTATATCCAGTTCAGGGGCGGACTGACAACTCATGGGGCCCCCGGGCAATAGGGGATCATGGGGCCCCTGTGTCCTTGCCCAAACTCAAAAAAAACCTATGAAAAAGGTACCAGGGGCACCTCATGGGGCCCCCTACTGACCCCGGGCCCTCAGGCAGTGCCCGAGTTTCCAAATGGTCCAGTTATATTCTGTGTATCCAAGAAAGAATCCAGGACTTTCCTACAGCAATCCACTGAGCTGGCCACACCCAACTCTGGAGGGAGTCTATTCCACATTCTCACAGCTCTTACTGTGAAGAAACCTTTCCAATCTGCTCCTGCTGGGGAAAAATTCTTTCCTGATCCCCAGAGAAGCAATCGGATATTCCCTGGATCAACTTTCCCTATAAATGTTATATCCAGTTCAGGGGGCGGACTGACCACTCATGGGGCCCCCGGGCAATAGGGGATCATGGGGCCCTTGTGTCCTCATCCACACCCAAAAAAGCCTATGAAAAAGCCAATGAAAGGTACCAGGGGCATATCATTGGGCCCCCTACTGACCCCGGGCCCTCGGGCAGTGCCTGAGTGCTCGAATGGCCAGTCCACCCCTGATCCAGTTATATTTTGTGTATCCAAGAAACAATCCAGGACTTTTTTTGAAGCAGTCTAAAAGCTAGAGCCGGACCATACATTCCGAACAATCTTTCGATCGGAAATTGAAAACGTTGTTCATATTGTAATCCGATGGTGCCACCAATGATTTCGAAAATTGGTCGTTTTTCACAAATTCTCCAGCAAAATGGGGAGGAACTACGAAAATCGGCCGGTACCGTTGTCCCACTAACAGAGCGAAAATCGGCCGATTATTCTTAGGTTCAATTTTTTGAATGAAAAATCGTTTGGAAATCGACCCATGTATGGCTGGCCTAATTGTTCCTTTATGTAGGTGTGCGAAGTTGTATCTGGAGATTCGCATTGCTCTGGGATTTTGCATATGTTAAAGTGGAGTTCCACCCTTTTTTTTTTTTTTTCATGATCCTTGCCACACAATGCCCACCCGCAGAACGGTCTGTTATTGGATTTTTTTTAATTTATTGATTTTTTTATTGACCTTTTTTTTGCTGTCAGTATCCATACCATCAGGTCCATCCATCAGGACACCATACCCTGATACCAGGCACCTCATGTACAATATTCAGATAAAGTGCAGAGCTCAAAACATGTCGAACAAAATTAATAATCATGGTAATAATAATGTGTAAAAATTGATAAAGTATCACAAAAGTGTCCGTAAATGATAAAATCACATGGTGAAATCAGAATAGAACAGTCCCAAAATCGTGGTGATCAGGGGTGGACTGACAACTCATGGGGCCCCCCGGGCAATAGGGGATCATGGGGCCCTTGTGTCCTTGCCCAAACTCAAAAAAACCTATGAAAAAGGTACCAGGGGCATCTCATGGGGCCCCCTACTGACCCCGGGCCCTCGGGCAGTGCCCGAGTTTCCAAATGGTCAGTCCGCCCCTGGTGGTGATATAAGAAGACTTTACAAGGACAGCCAATGTGACACCATCCACTCACAAGGCTCACCAGAAGGCATGTGACCCCTACTAAAAATGGTCAATCTGCGCTTTATGGGATATCATTGGTACATCAAGGGAAATACACGATGCACTGAAGGAATTGACAAATGATCCTCCAATAGATCCAACCGTTCCAAGGTAAGCTATTGGACCAAGAGCTCGTAGTATAATACATGCAATAAAAGATGTGTCCTATGTGGGGTAGCTCAGGTGGGGGATCACCTTCCCTGGGAAAAAAGGTAGTCCACACAGCAGGCTTTCTTAAAATCTGACTGGTTGTCAGTTTTATTCAAAGGTTGCAAATATCAAAAACAAACAAAACAGAAAATAAACCCTTGTCATCCAGGAACTAACTAAACACAGAGGTTTTCCTCTCTCACTGGTGAAGAGCTTCTCCCCGTCACCAACAAAAATGAAACAGTAAGTAAACCTTTTTCCTTGTTTGTATAACAATCACTTTCATGCGCAGCTCTCTCAGGATTGGCTCTCTGAGTCCCAGGCCACGCTCCTTGCTCCAGCCCTGCCTGATTTTATACCATCTCTGGTGGCCATCAGTGAACCACAAAACCAGGTCCAGAACCACCTCTGCCATAGTGGCCCAGAAAACGCGGAGTGGACTTCACCTTATCCTCCCAGATATGCCCACATGCGAGGTGACACATAGCGTCCATCGATCACCTCGCCTTTCCTGCTGTCACACCACATAGTGTAAAATCATCACAGATCCAAATTTTATTGAATAGAAATTGCACTCACCTTGTAAAAGGCACAATTCGGCATGTACAAACATAAGAACAGGTCTTACCATCATCCAAGATGGCCACCGGTTGCGCATGCGTTGTAGCGTGTGTGCGTAGCTCTGCCCTACGTGTTTCGTCATAAGTGACGTCATCAGGGGCTCCTGTCAGACCTCTGCGCCATGTTTGATCAACCACTACTCATGTGGAAGGCGGTGAGACATTTCTCATAATTGGGGAAAAGTAGTGATGTTCCCCACCTGCACAGGGCCCCACACAGCCTCTCCAAATCATACCGTATCTTGTCCTGTCCTTCAAAATCATCACCCCTGAAACGTTTCAGCCGGTGGGAACTTGAATTACAAACTACCTTTATCAAGCAAAAGTGAGAGTGTCCCCATGGTGAGTTCAGGGACACGGACCTTCACCAACACGGGTATCATTGGGACTCAGTGGCTGTGTCCATTCAGCCGCATGCATCAATAGGCATCTATGGGACTGACTGATATACAGAACACCGACGCATCCCCTTCCCGGCACGTCCCGGCACAGATCACACAAGTAATCGCCCCGCGTGAATCGGGCCTTATGGAGGGCTAATTATCTATGTTAGGATTATTTAACACTTGGAATGCGTTCATTCCAAAATACGATGTAAATAAAATAAAAATACGATCCAAATAAAATACGATGAGCTTGTGAGGAATATATTGCTGCAAGCAGTGAGCGCAGTGAGCGCAGTGAGCGCAGTGAGCGCAGTGAGCGCCGAGGCATTTTACTTGTTTGTCATCCTGGCTTCCATATAGTGATTTATCTATTGTCAGCTTGTAAAAGTATCGGGAAACATTAAAGATGAACATCTAGAATATCTGCTAACATTCCCTGTGATTTGCTAAACCGCAGATTCCCCCGTGGATGGGATCTGACGGAGCCTGCAGTCCCACAAGTCTTCAGGATTCACCGGCAGAAGTCTGCATGTATTTCCCGGAGATGCGAGCTT